GTCAACCCCAGAAAACGTCTGACCTCAGTTACAGACACCGGTTTCTTAAACTGTCTAATTGCATTAGANTGAAGGTGCTTATTTAGCCAAGGAAAAAGCAAAGCTGTATACTTCCAGCAAATATTGGNCTAGTAATTCGATGTCCAAGAAAGTTAAGCTCATTCACCAAAAATTTGCATTTGCTATAGCGCAATGTTAAGTCACATTCTTCTAATAATTTCAGAAATTTTTCTAATATTATTAACCCGTCATCAACCGTACGGCTTGGAATAATTACATCATCCAAGTATGCAATAACTCGGTACGGTTTCATTTTGTCCACAATTTTATTCATCATATTTTGAAATACCGACGGCGCATTAACCAGCCCGAATGGCATGCGATTATATTCGTAGTGTCCATTATTTGTAACGAATGCAGCATATTGTTTAACATCGTCTTCCAACTCAATTTGGTGATAGCCCATATTAAAATCTAAAGTAGTATAGTACGTGTTGCCTGTAAGTAATGCAAACAATTCTTCCATTATTGGCATTGGAAATGGCTGTTTCACCGTAATGCGATTTAATTGTCTATAATCTACACACAGTCTATGCTCTTTGTTTTTCTTTTCCACTAGGACTACGGGTGCAGCATACGCGGAATCTGACACACGTATTACGTTTTTTGCCAATAAATCTTGAATTATTTCGTCCAAGATTGGTCTTTTCGCGAAGGGCAATCGATAGGGTTTCATATTTATCGGATTGTAGTTATCGAATGCAAATCCACTACCGTCATTTCACTGAACTTTTCCATTTCGATTTCACAACACTTGTATTTTTTGTCTCACTTCTGAAAATTGTCACAGGATAGTCGAGTTTATTTCAAATATAAATAAAACACCAATGGTTGTACGCTGGCCCTGTCAAGGGGTAAGTATTGTAGTTTAGTATTTATTCAAAGTATGTATTAATATTCAAAAATAATGGAAAAGTATCCGCTCAGTGAAATGGTCACACACGTCTGTATATGTTCAGCTTCGGTCGCTAACTGCTGCTTGTTTCATCTTCTCTTGTCTACTATTCGCTTGTGGCAGGGTTGCATGAAGTCGTACGTGACACGAGGGAAAGGGTCTTCGTTGGTCTTGTCAAAAATGTAGATCAACCGAAGTTGATTTATTTAAATTCTTTAGGCAGTCCAGAAATGGTTTTTCTGAGACTCGGAAGGATCTGTCGGTGCTTATTGAGAAATTTAAGCATTACGAAAAAATGTTTAGGTCTTTCACATGTCTCGACAACCCTCCACACTCTGAGGATAGCCGAGAAAGTAAAGGTAGGCGTGTTATTAGTTCACCTAGAAAGACAGCCACTGAATCTAGTCAGAAAAATCCTCCATCCCATTCATTGGAACTTATTAATCTATCTTCTCCATGCCCTCAGGCATTGGAGCCTCCGCTATCTAAAGCCATATCCACTAGGTCTACATCTAAAAATAGTCAAACCGTTGATTTAACAGTGTTGCCATCAACATCAGAACCTGCACTGTCTAACTTAGTTCCTCCGAATAATTCGGAGCCCCGCATATCAGACATCATTACCACNAAAATTGATGTAGCTTCCGAAGATATTGATTCACTACTAAATAGTTCATTTTGGCCGACCGGGGCGTTTGTTCGCGAGTTTGAGTATAAACCTAATAAAAGTAATAATAACGTAGCTAAAATTTCTAATCTTAATTCGGATTCAAAAAACTAACTCGCAAGTCTAATTTAAGTATTTACTATCAAAACGTTAGAGGTTTGAATACCAAATTAACTAACTTATAGTTAAAAGGTTTTGACTGCAATTATAATATTATTTCCCTGACCGAAACATGGCTCAAACCTCATATTTTTAATTGCGAAATTCTTCCAAATGAATATCAAATATACAGGAGTGACCGCGAGGGCAGAATCGGCGGTGGTGTTCTTTTTGCGGTGCATTCATCGATACCATCCGAGGAAGTTAGTGTCCCTGTCATTGAATATACCGAATTTAAATGTATACGTGTACAGGCTGGAAAGAGTAATATTTATTTAGCTCTTTGCTACATCCCTCCTAGTCGTGTCGTATCAGTATATATGCAGCTAGTTTCTCTACTTGAGACCGTAAATGCAATGCTTACGGCATCCGATTCTATGATTGTTTTGGGCGATTTAAGTCTGCCACACATTTCATGGAACATCATTGACACCGATGTTGTGCCAGTTTCATCTAGAGATAGTTACAATGTATTTCTGGAGGAAATGGCTGAACTTTGCCTTAAACAAATAAATATATGTCCAAATAAGTTTGGAAAGNTATTTTTGCCGGAAGATGCATCCCATCCTGCTCTTGAGTTAAGCTATGAAATCATAAATGAAATACATAATAATAAGTCGTATAGTTTAAGTACTAGATATGTTTTTGCGAAAGCAAATTTCAGGAAAATTAACAAAGAACTTTCAAAGTTATCTTGGCCAATATATAGAGATGACGTGGAGCGTAGCGTTGAGCACTTTAATGATACTGTTTTCAATTTGTTTCGAAAGTATATGCCAAAACGTAATATTGTTCATGAAGAACCAATACAATTACGGTTCACTAAAGAGCTTGAAAAATTGAAAAATAAAGTCACATTCTTTTATATATATATATATATAGATTGGCGCTTACACATATGTTAGTGTTTGGCCGAGCTTCTCCTCCGATTTGCGGCGTGCGCCTTGATGTTGTCACATAAAGCGGAGGGACCTACAGTATTACGCCGACTCCGAACGGCGATTGTATTTTTATGAAAAGCTGTTTTTCATGGCAGAAATACACTCGGAGGTTTTCCATTGCCTGCCGAGGGACGACCGCTGTTAAAAAAAAAAATAATTTCTATATTTTTTGCGATGTCGCTTTGACCAGGGTTTGAACCCAGGAGTTGCGGAGTATAAAAGAACGGGCTTACACAGTGATTACGTAAAGNTATCTTTAGCATATCCAATCAGCTGATGAATTTGATTCTGTAGCTGAATGGTTTTAGATCTCGACACTTAACAAACTCCTGTTTCCACTACTCGGCA